CACAGCGTGGCAAGTTAGGGGTCCTCTTTGTGTGGAAAACTTTGACTAAAACAAGCAAAAAATACCTCGAAAAAACCCTACCACTACTACCACCAATACCACTGCTAGTACTACTACTACTACTACTACTACTACTCCTACTCCTACTCCTACTCCTACTCCTACTCCTACTCCTACTCCTACTCCTACTCCTACTCCTGCTACTACTCCTACTACTACTACTACTACTACTACTACTACTACTACTACCACTTGAAGACCGAGCTCCTCTGGATTCCCCGGCCGCTGGATCGTGCGGTGGGAAGAGGCTCCCGCGGATGTAGCGGTCCACCGAGTCCTTGCAGCGACGGACCCGGTTGAGGGAGTTGCCCAGACCCTGGACCCGAACCTATGGAGGGGTCGGACACGAATCCTCTGGAGGGGTCTGGGACCAAGGGCTGTGAACGGAGCGTCTGAGTCTGGGTGGGCATGTTCTTTGATCGTGGCGTGTCAAGCTGGGGATTTCTGTTGAAATCAAGCACTCTTGGAGATGATTGTAGACTGATCTGGGTTCGAAGGAAATATTTAGATTCAGGTGTTGGAAACCATCTGCTGTAAACATCTTGAGGATGTTCCTGGAAACACATACATCATCATACATCATACTTCTTGCATCCCTGATTGATCGTTCGGGGAAGGGATTACATCGTTGGGAATCACCTGAAAGGATCGAAGCTGTTCTTGTCCTTTCGTATCTATTTCCGCCTTTCGGTGGTTTCAGGTTCTGCCATTTCTGGAAGCGCAGGCCACCAGGGTCCAGACCGTTAAGATCCACCATTTCGATCCAGCGCAGCAAATGGGTAAAGCAGCGGCGCCCGCGCACCGCGCGGCACCGGGCTTCTCTTCTCTTCGGTCCGCGAGCTTTCGGTCTGCGACGGAGCACCGAAAAAGCGGGCGCTATGCCTCTAGTAGTGATGCCAGGAGCTACTATACCCTAGGGATCCACATACCTTCTCAGAAGTTACTTGGGCCCTACATAAATAGTCTCCAATCACCTTCTGAGAAGGTACTTGGATCCCTAGGGTATAGTAGCTTCTTGCTCCTAGTAACGATGGCCTCCACCTAGTAGCGTCCTTGTTACTTCACTCATCGCAAGGAGGCTCATTCTGGCAATCGCCCTCAGCTGGCTACGACGGTCTCCACCGCAGGAACGTGTGCACCTGAGTAGAAGAAGGGTTCTTGGCATTGCATTCGGAAGACTTGACATCTTGTGGAAGCCCTTGAAGCCTCTACTCTCTCATCAATGGAACCCAAAGCAATTGTCGTGAGAGGTGAGCGAACGCCTACGACACACATCTTTTATGCCAGTGCCAATATACTGGATTCTCCAACACATGTTGTACTGCAGAACTTGGTACTCACCGTTTTGATGTGTAAACTTCAGTAGGTTATGATTCTACCCAACCTGGTCATGTCTCACTACCACTAGTCCACCAGCGAGGACCTTCGGCTACAGAAGCTGCTTTACATCGAAGTGACTTCCAAAAACCCGGACAATCACCAAAACACGTCAAGAATATCCAAGACTTCGGAGATCCCAGTGACAGGATCTCCAAAGAAGTATTGCTTTTGGAGTTTTTACCAACTGTACTCCCTGTTTGGATGGTCCCAGGACCCCTGATGGGCCAATTCCGAGACCGAGATGCGGGAGCGGAACGCATTCGCCCAATTAGTCCTGGGAGGTCTCTCGGCTGAGCAGAACATGAACATGCGGCTGAGCAGCTGGGCAAAACATGAAGTGAGCGAACGGCAAAACCTCCAAGCAAACTATGGGTCTTCTGTATACTTAGCAATGAACGGACATGGAATGTTGGAATGTCTGCGCGATTCCAATTATATATATATATTATACTATATACACGAGAGGAATCGTTGGGGTATGCTTTCGGATGCACACCGATGTGTGTGATTAATATATCATGTACACATAACCATGCCATGGTCCCATTTCCATGGATAGTGCATTTCACCGGAATTTGGCATCTCTGGATTGATCTTGCACGGATCACACAACCACCAACAACCACTTACCTGGGCATCGAGGTTGATCATGGTCCTACAGAACATGTCTAGCTAACATGTGTACAACGGCATAGTAATCACAAGTATATAGTGACTGACATCTTGCAGCACACTCCACACACAGGCTTAAGCGGCTTCAGGTTAAGGTCTCTCTGAAACTGGTCGAGCTCCACAGGTGTAAGCTCCTTCTTTTCGCCTCCGATTGTGACCTCAATCCTTTGTTTAACCATAGGTTGTGCATTCTGGGACTGCTTATTAGCCTGCTCTTGGTTGGCCGTTGAATGGACTGGCGCTTGATTGATCCCCAACACGAAAGGAACCCGGTGGCCTCAAGTACTGACGTGACTGACAACCAAGTGTGAGACAATCCTGGCTCAATCTGGTGTGCTTGAGCCTGCACAGCTGGTAAGGACAAGTTGAGGCTTCAGTTTCTTAGTCACAGTGGGACAGTAGGGACCTATCCGCCCACTGGCTCTGCCGGAGGATTGCCTTGTATTTCTACCATGGTGGAAAGGACATACGGCAAGATAACAATGAAGACCTGCAATAAGCGTTTCGCAAAAACGCGCGGATCTTTCACAAATGGTTTAAAGCATCTAAAATGTTCTTTATACACCCCTTACACACCCCTTTGGATCAAGTCCCCATATCATATGTTTACTGAAAATATCCTTTACAACCTCATACCATCTTATACCTGCTGCTGTTGTTTCGCTTCCTATGCGGTTCTGGCTTGTATAATGGTCCCATGGTTCACATAAGCACGTTGCTTTAATGGTGGGTGCTTCAATTCTTTGTGGCTCCCGACTCCCGTCGTCCTGGCTCATTTGGAACTCCAGCACTCTCCGCCGCTTCTTCAACGGAGACGCGGGCGTGGTGTCAGGCTCCTGTCGACTGGAGTTGCCCGAGGCTGGATCGAGCTTGTGGGTGGCAGTTTGCCCCCTATTGCGCTTGGATTGCGAAAGCGCGTGCTGAGAAAACAGCACGACAAGCTCAAGAAGTCAACGATATGCAGATATACACGATCCTGCTTACCAACACGTCCATCTACCAGACCTTGAAGACGTCAGCTCTTTTCCTATTATGTACAGTGATTGGGGCCTGCAAAGGCTCTGTTCTTGATCCAAGCACCCCTCTGACATAGGAAAATCTCCATTTCCACAACAGAGAACAGCACTGCTTGGGCCAGAATCCTGAGTCAACCGCCATGGTGCCTTCCCTGGGCCCTCAGGGCCCGCCCCGGCATCCCAACTGCCACATCCCTCGGCTCCTCCCCCATTAAGCGTTCCGCCACTTTCTCCCCGGCGGCGTTCAGCCGCGTCCGCGTGGCGTCGTCGTGCAAGCGCGCTGAGTCGGATGGCGACCAGAAGAGGAAGGCCTCCGGGGTAGATGGAGTGGTGGAAAAGTATTGGATGGATATGATGGACTCATCTCTTTGACGTCGATGATGGACTCGTGGGATCGTACGATATATGGCATGTAGACTGTGTATGTAAACGCTTCCATGCAGATGAAGATCCCAATGAAGATTAAGAGTTTTGGGCACGGGTTGTTCATCTCCTGACGGAGCGGCCAGGAAAACACACCCAAGTCAACCAGGTGGCTCGGATGGGGCGCTCTCCCGTCAGAACGATCAGTCGGGCCTGGCCGTGGATGGAGCGGCTGGCCCGAGAGACTCGGATGACCCTGAAATCCGAGGTCCAACCAAACCTGTGGGTTCTCACTCATTCCAAGGAGTCTCAGCTTTTCGCGGCCAAAACCGATGGTTCTTTTTCTTGCGCCTTGCTCCTGTACGGATTGGCATCCGGATCGTCCGGAGTGTCCTGGCCATCCCGGTGGCCAAAACCCGAGTCCCTCTTTCTCGGCTCGCGGCTCGACCGATCCCAGGCCCAACGATGGTCGGCTTGCCGGATCCAAAAAGAAACCAACTGACTGGTGCTTAGTAGGGAATAAGGGAATGAGCCCCCAATAGAGATTCTATTGGATCCATTCCCTCATTCCCTGCTAAGCACCAGTCAGCCAATGTTGGATGCTGACTGCGCATGGTCTGGGGCCATGTGGCAGCATCAACATTGGTCGTAGATGTTCCGACACCGACACGAAAGCAGAAAGGAACACCAGGGCTCCGCGGACATTGGTCGCCGGCACCTTGACCATCATGTCTGGAACAATCACATCAGGGGGGGTTGCTGGCTTAGGCCATTTGGAGGTGAATGACCACACCTATGGGAGTCTGTTCTCCCAATCCTCCATGGCGTCCATCCTAACCGCCCAAACCAATCAGCCGACGGTGTGGCCGTGTCTCCCACCGTCCGAGTGTCCTTCTTCTGATGTTTCTTGTCATGGAAGACAATGTGTCGGATGGGATCTTCTTCTCCCATACCTGGGATTTGCTGGAGAGAATGTGGGTTCAAACCAAGGAACTGTGTTATTAATTATGTGTTATTCTACTTTGGGTTGGGCAACTCAGATTTGCTGGAGGCCGTGAAGGCCCAGAAAGAAAGATAAACCGTGGATGTTCCCTACTGCCTCCGTGCTTCCAAGGCCTTGCTCACTGAAGTCGGCCCGACCGCACGTGGTGGCAGGATCTGGTGGAGAAAAAACATCGGAAAACCAGCAACTTCAATGATCGCAAGGTCTTCCAAGGTTCCATAGGTCAACTTGGCAAAGGCCACCCGCAGTTCATCCTTTGCCACAGGGCTCCAAGGGTTGCTCTCCTTCTCGACCTGCAAGGAGTTCGCCGCAAACGCCAAAGCAGGCGACGTGTGGAAATGTGCTTCCTTGTGCAGGGAGCCGTTGGATATACAGAAGATTATAGAAGTAAAAGCATAGTAATGTAGACTGTTGGTGGATAACATGTTTTCCAACATAGGTCCATATGAAGAGATTGTTCAATCCAAATGTGGAGGCTTGATGAATCAAGAGTCTACGTTACAGTCTCTTGGTCCTTTCCCGAGTGGTGCAGGATTCCTACCCATCGATCAAAAGGCAAGAAGTGAGTAGAGAATGTGAGTGTTCTCTTCACATCCAACTGGCCCTGTATGGCTTTGAGCGGGGGATGGGTTCACTCTCCTGACATGTTAATTGGCAACTGGATATCCCAGAGACTCCAGGAGACTAGCATATATAGCGCGACTGCCACCTCATGTCCAGCCACAGCCGTCTTGGCAGTGGGCAGACTAGCATATCAATTCATCAGTTCGGGTGGTTGAAAAGGGGTCAATGTATGGGACATGAACCTGCTAAGTCCATCGGCCTCCCTGGGGTCGCGCACCAAACGGCACAAGGGACCCCACCCCACCAAGCGACGGTGATCCGCCAGAGACCTCATTGGGTCAGAGTCACTGGTCATGTGTTCGCCCACTTCATCCATCCAACATCCATGGATTCGGCAACTGGTCACCTTCCATTTGGTCATCGGTTCCCACAACTCCCCGATCTTCCACGTCGATCCCAGGTGTTGCGACTGGCCTCTCGAATCTCTTCCGAGTTGTAAGATGCCAGGACCTCTTCAATGAAGGTTTCCTGTGGTCTGAAGGCCTCTGAGGGTTCAGGTTAGCCTTCTTCATGCTAGCCCATCTGCTACGACCCATTTTCTTTGAAATGAATTCGCTCCAGAGCACCGAGACCCAGGTCGTTGGAGTGTGCCCCATTCTGCTTTGTGGATTGTTGCATTGTTCAAGTCGGCAACCAAAGGACGATACTTAAGGTAGCTACCACAACTGAGGCCTCTGAAAAACTGGACATGAAGAGATCTGCCTCTTAGAACGGCAGGCTCGACAGGTCCACTGCTGGAAAGGTTTCAATCCAGAATGCATCTTCTCCCAATGTCATGCCCTTCAGCAGAAACTTCTGCCATGGGTCTTATATATTGGGTCAGTGATTCCGGTAGCTCCCAACCTCGTGGAACCTCGTCACGAAACCGGATCACAGGTTGACCATGCGATCACAGGTTGACGATGCGACGTCACCGACAAACATCTCGTTTGCTTCAAGACCAGGAAAACCTGGAGGAGTCACACACCGATTGACCTTGCAGATACGGTGCGGGGTGGTGGGGGCGGGGGTTCTACCCGAACAGCATCGAACAGCTCCGAACCCCCGAAAGTCGTGGGACTGCTGGTCCCTCCTGGTCGTTTCTTCTGTCAACCAACGTGTCCGACTGTCCCGGTGCCATGTAGAGGTTCTTCTCCAATGAACACTTCACATGGGTAACGTGCATGGCAACCCCCTCTGTGCGAAAAAGAAACGCGTCATGACCGTCATGACCTGAAGGAACGCCATTTCTTCCACTTCCATGGACCGTTAAGCCATGAGGAAGGCATCCAAGCCTTCCATGGCTAGGCCAGGCCGATCACTCATGGTGAAACATATAAAAAAAGGCCCAAGGCTATGCAGGTTACATCCCTTTCCCAACCTCGCGATGCGCTCGCGCTGCGCTCCTCCTTGGGTATCTGGAAGCGAGAAAGACCGTTCACCTCCCGCATGTTGGGTAAGTTCCAGGACAAGGCCAGGCGCATGAGCTTCCGGTCCAAGAAGCGGGCCTAGCGCGCGCGAAGAGAAGCGCTTCGCTTCTCAAGGGAAGAGAAGCGCGCCCTGCGAAGGTTGGGGATCTTGCGGTTCTGGGATTGGCGACGACAAGAGCAAGAGATAGAGAGATTGAGAGAGAGAGAGAGAGTTGGCTCGTGCGAAAAATGGAACTCACTTTGAGAGCCAGCCAAGAGCGCAGGTGCGTGTGAACGGAGCTTCCACTCGAACAGCGGTCGCCGGTTCCGAATGCTGAAGTGAAGGAAGTGGGCGTGAGGGTTGGTGGGCATTGTGAAGTGAAGGGAATGAGGCCTTTCCCAACATCATTCGACTTGTTTAGTCTAGTCATTGTCTCTTTTTGGGAGTGGAACGGAGTGGCATAGTCCAACTGTGGAACTGGACTGAACGGACAAGAGTGCTTTTCAAGGACAGACCTCCAAAGTACTCGTCAAGAGATTGCAAGTCAGCAAGTCGGCCTCCAGGAGTGTCGGAAGCGGTTCAACCCGCAGCAGTCGGATGTGGAGCCCCCTCCATCTCATCGCTTCAACCCGCCAAAAACCTCCATGACCCACCCAAGAGGCGCCACATCGACCCAGCTACAGGATGCTACAGGGTTGCCAACTCCAATTGGCTTTAGATGTTGTTTTACATGGGACCTCTTGACAACTGCTAAGTGCCTTGGGCCATGGAAACTGTATCTGAGGGTGGTTGCCTTGTACTCCTCACAGGCTTGCAGCAGAGCTGGATCCTCCCTGTCTAGCAGCCGACTCTCAATGAAGGTATCCGTGAGCTTCAGATACGCCACTGGACACAGGCTGAGGCCGGCTTCACTGATCCTTGGTCGGTGCGCCACGCGACTTTGCGTGGCCTGTTTGGATCCGAGTTGGGGATCCTTGAAGTCTTTCATCGGAGGGGTTCTGGAAGGGTTTCTGAGCTGAACTGAAGGTTTCCAACTGTTCTTCACCTGGATTTCAGGTCTGCAGCCTCCGGCTTCGACGTGCTTCCACTTGGTTCGACCATTGCAGCTCGAGGAGCGTCATCTTTTGACCATTCAGTCCAGAGACCAATGGAACTTGATCCATCAACTTCAAGATGTCAATCATGTGCAGCTCGAGCTTCTTTACCTCCGTGGGAGAGCAAGGTACATACACATGGTAAGTTTCGGAGATGCCGTAACCATCCATACTTCGGGCAACAATACACGCTGCCTCATCTTCATGCCGTGGCCAACAGCAACAGGGTTTTGGACAGTTCGTTTTGGGATATGTGAGACGGATATTAAGGTGTGGAAGTGGACCTGTTCCCAAACTGCTTTGCATCCACAGAATCCAGTGTACAAACCCCAAACAAGAACCTGTATGCATGCCTAAGGCGTCTGGTCTGCTGCACATTGGCCGGTCAGCGTCCATGCCTTCGCTCCTATGGACAGGTCTTGAGCATTCAACGTTTGATGGAAGGGTGATTCAAATTATCTTCTGTAATTATCTTGTAGATTCAGCAACTATCCTTAGTGATTGCTCGACCCTTGACAAAAAACCAATCACAGCATGAAACACCTCAGAATGTATGTGGTTCCATAAAGATACCTCAACCCCAGCCAACAACCAGTGCGTTCTTGGTGCCGTCTTGTGCTGGTACGCCGTGCCGTGCAGCATCTTCCGGAGCTCCATCAAGTTTTCCCTGATGTTGGCCCGATCCTGCAGAAGTTGGGGAGACGAGTTCATCCGTGCGAGTTCGATCCGTCAAAAGTGTGGAGAAGGTGCTATAGAGGGCAGCACTCCGACCATGTTCCTATACTATGGATCATGATGGACCATGCTATATGTTTTTATTACAGACATGGTTCAAAAATCGGATGAACAAATATAAACCCATGGGTTCAAACGAACAGCCCACTCCAACCCCACAGGTCCGCAGGTCCCTCTCTTGGTCCATGGCTGGCACCACTAAACGGGTTTTGAATCGGGGCATGACCAAACTCACGTCCCGACCAACGTCACACACCAATTGGTTTATGAGTCCCGATCACCCGATTTGAGACGTGGTGACCAACAAAAACATGTTTAGATCTAGACATGATCAATTGACGTCTCTATGGATTCTATGGATCTAGATTAATATGTTTGTTCAGTATCTCAGTGTATTCTAATGTGTACTGACATATCCATAGACATCCCTAAACATGTTTTTCTCAAATAATCAGGCCTCTTGACCACAGTGTGGGGCATGTCAAGGGCTATGAGGTGAAGGAGCTGGTAACACATAGAATCACATGGAATCAAGTGTGACGAGGAAATCCTCTCCTTCTCCGGTGGCGAGATGGTCAAGACGCCCGCGTCGGAAATCACCCAGGCCGACTTCATGTAGCGAACGTGATCCCACCTGCAAAGGCGCTCCCTTGCGCTCGGGCCAACCCGGGCCGAGACGGGCCGAGACGGGCGGTTTAGGATGGAAAAAGGCGCAGCAACATGTGACCTGCAAATGACATGCCTAACAAGAAAATACAGATGAGCTGGTCTGATCATCGAGCCCCCTTCCCTGAACAAGGTTCCAGCTCAATCTTTGCCGCCTTCCTTAAATTGTCGGCATGGTGTTTGAATCTTTTGAGCGGTTGGTGGGTCAAGGCGGGCAAGAGACTGTCTGTGAATGCCCAAGAAGAGGGCATCTCTTCTCATGTAGTCGAACTTGTCCACATCAATCCCCGTCCTCCAATTGCTCACCTTAGAAGGTTGGAGGCCATTGCTATTAGGTTGGAGGCCATTGCTGGTTTCAAAAAGTATTGTATTCTAAAAGAAGAGCCCTTCGACTCTCAAAGAACCATGTGGAATGTCAGACGTCAGAGAAAGTGAGACACCAGAAGCTCTGCAGGGTTCAAAAACCCCCGGCCAACGCATCGAGCCCCGCGGTTAGATGGCACTGATCGACTCATTGAAGTGGAACTGTCTAGAGTCTAGTGGAAGTGTGTGTCTAGTCAAAACATATCTGAGCTCTCAATAGGTTTCAATCATTCAATCAAGAACTTCGTGCCTTCTTTTAGCGACGTTTTGGGGATGATCGTGGTGGGCCTCCCCATTTCCATCCATTTCCCTTTTCCATTCTGCGAAAGAGGAAAAAAAACGTTTCGTCATACCGTGATTCCTTTCTGTGGGATCTCTTTTTGTTCGGCTGTGCCATTTCCGGTGGGCCCAGTTGCTATCTCATAGATCCAAGCTCGTTCCACTCTTCGACCCTTCATGATCGTCGACCAGCCGCTCTTCAAGGTTCCTGCAGAGAGCATCCGCCGGAGCACTGGGGTTGGCGGGTGGATGAGTTCAGCGATGAGCTCGAAATCATCCCCTTCCTCATCGACACAAAGGCCCACTTCGTGCAAGTGATCCTTCCTCAGACGGTCCAACGGCACCGGCACACACCCAGGCTGATCCAAATGGGTCAAAATGGCAAACAGGTCTACGGGAGAATGGAACATGAACTTCATGGTGTGACACTCCGAGTGGAGGGCCCATGCAGCGATGCCAGACGTGTGGTCCGGAGAAGCGCAGCATGTGGAGCATGTCTCTTGGCCGACAGCACCGCGACCCGGTGCTAAGCATCGATGAGCGTCAGGTCATGAATGAGCTTCTTCATAATGACCAAAGATGCCTTCCTCAGATTTGGAGCATTCACCAAAATACTCGAGAACTACTCGCCATAGCTCTCTGAGATAGTCTGAGATCGTTCTTAGATGGGACCCATGGGACAAAAAGCCAACGAACTGAGCAGAACTGAGCTTCTCATGATCCCAGGTCTCAAAGCTTTGAATCTTCTTCTCCACCTCTTGAGGGACAAAGCTTTGGCACATCGACCTCGCCTCTTCTCGCTTCTCTTTGCCCAGCTGGCGCATGAAGGCCTCGAACATGTGGGAGAAGCACGGGTGACCCAGGTCGTGACAAAGCCTCACCGGCAGGGCCCACCGAGGACAGATGACGTTCTTCTCTCCACAGTGTGATATATCCGACAACGACAAAAAGAAAACAAGAAAAGAAACACCCCGGAACCCTGCAAACGTCTAAATAAAATCCGAAGGAAAAGAGGTAGGAAATCTTCCATGAAATTATATGAAATTCATCGCAGCCCAGGTCACGCAGCCAAGGTCACGCACACCTCCTCCCGATCGGAGATACCCAGCTCTGGCTGCTGCTTCCGGATGGATTGGATGAATTGCAGGGCCAGATGAGCCGTCCCAATGCTGTGAAAGTAGCGATCGTGCTTGGCTCCCGGAAAGACATGCGCACAGACTCCCAGCTGTTTAATATGTCTCATCCGCTGGAATTCGGGCGTGTCCACCACTAACTTCACATAGTTGGGTAGGTTCATCTGGCCATGCACTGGGCAGTTCAGCAAAAACTGCTCCGCCAGCAACTTTGGTCGAGGTTTTGGTCTCAAGCGCTCCTGAACTAAGGCTCGAGCTCGCTCTTCGATCAAGGCCTCGAGAGTTGTTCAGCGAAGTTTCGCGCGCGAACGCCGGGAACGAAGAGATCCGAAGCGAAGACCGGAACATGAACCGGATGAACGGCGGGAGGCCTCCTCCATCCACTCGCCTTCCTCAAGAATCATGTGCACATGTTCGACCATGGTAACCCATGGTATATGATACCATGATACACCATAAGCTTAATGGGCAAAGTCGCGGTAGGTTGGTCACCCTCCCAACATTGCTGGACGGTTTGGTGACCCTCCCACGGGTCACGGAGAGCGGTCGGCCCCGAAAGCAACTGCTACATGTTTGATTGTCGTTTGAGGTCCGGTTCAATGAGCCTTCAGGTCCAAAGCTTCCTGTGGCTCAAATGCTACTTACTTACGCGTTTGTCCTCTTACTTCATGCGTACTTCATGCGCACTTCCCTTGCTGTGGCATCAGACTTCCCGTCACAAAGGGAAGAATCTCTGCACAGACTCTTCAGGTAGATGGTGCAGTGCTTGACAAATAGAGTACATGGAAGGACAAGTACAATAAGCCTTGGAATGGAGAACATATAACATACACTCCCCAGCATGGAAGCAAACAGCGACTACTTCTGGGAAGACGATTTCCAATGGTTGGTTGCTCATTGTTCTTCAATGCGACAATTTTCCATAAACGCAGTATTCCATAGATGTCTCAAAGGGATTCACAGCTCATCCTTCTGACCCTCAAGAAATGGAGTGTTTTTGCCAACTCATATCTTAATGCGTCTTCTTTGGGGTGCGAAGAAAACCATAAACACGCGTTAACACAAACATCCCTTGACACCGGACAGGGTGTCTCGGCCACGCAAGCTCGGCGCGTCCAACGCATCGCACCTCCATGGCACCGTTTGGTGAAGCCATCGCGGCAGTGGAGTGAAAAGACGGATCTTCTCCACAAAATTATGGGTGGTCCATCAACTTCGCTGTCTGGGTCTGTAGGACTTGGTCTTGACATGGAAAATGCTTCGCTGTCCATGTTTCTCTGTGTTCCTCTACAATCTGGGGAGCTTTCTTTCATGCAAGTGACCTGAAGGGAGTTCAAAGCCAGTCTGAAGTGAGCCAAGCTTTGCATAGCTGTTCATGCTTCCAAATGTTCACAGCTGTCTGGAGGCGTCAGGCGGTGGAAAACAGCTATTCGCTCGGGTTCAAAAAAAGGAAGCAAGTTACGGACACCAGGTCGTTCATGAGTAGCATCAATTACTATCAAATAGCCAAGGCCTATAGTGATCCCCAAAAAGATAGAAACGGTTTCCAATACATTTCTGATCTACTTTTCTATCTATGTGGGGGCCACTATAATGTAGGCATTGTGACCAGGAGTGCCAACCCAAAAGAACACGATGAGTCAAACACAAAAACTCCTCCCACTGCAGAAAACGTCGGCTGTCTGTGAATCCACCTGAAATCAAGGTGTCCAGGACCCATGATCAAACCAAGTGTGACCCACATGATCTGACCCACTAGCTGGAAAGACACGGTGGGACTGTTGACGGCTGATTGACAAACCCACCATAATATGGAAATGGTTAAGAAATCTATAGGTAAAGGCGTATGGGGACTTGCATCAACCATCAACATTTCTGCCTAGTCTGCCACGTCATCAAAGCACCACTCCACGTCGAGTGCATGTCGCCATACACCCATCGCACCGCCCAGCCCAAGCAAACCGCACCCTCCTCGTCCCATTTCAGGTTGATCTGCTTGGGTGCCTGGTGGGAGCTGCACTGCACCAGGAGAAAACAACGGGAGTAGGGACAAAAGTGGTGGGGTCCGGTGCCCCTACTGTTACATTCCGTCTTTATTGATCCTTCAAAGCAGCAGTCGTGGCTTGTCTGTCGTGGCAAAGGCATACAGAACAATACATCACCGCGCAGCCGTCTGTATTAGGGCCTTCCCTATGGGGTTCGCAGGGTTTGGGAATGTCCTATAGGAGAAAGAAACTACATGTTTGTTGTGGCAAGTAGATCACGCCTAGGTCTTGAGGCCGATCATGAGATAGAGCGCGCCGCGAGATTGAAGATATATCACCAACTAGGTAACCACCGCACAAATACATGTCGGGTCTGTGGAAGAGGTGACCCAGGTGACCAACCAACGACTTTACTTATATAATAAGGCTTGGAGCATCTGGATGCAATGGTTTCTTTTACCAAAAGCACGGACATTGGTTTGGCCAGATTTCCACTAACAACATGTGCTTGGACCTGAACTGCTGTCTTCACAAAACATGTTTGTACTGTTTGGGTTTCGCATGGTTTCGCCAATGTTGACATTTCGATGAGGGAAATCCAAGAGTAAACATAACTTTAAAAAATTGGTGAAGAGCGCGGCATGCCTAAAAACAAAATGCCGCGTTCACGGGGTGCCCGGCCATGCGACAGGAAAGACAACGTCAACTAAAATCACCCATGGAGGAGAAGGATGGTGATCTACAGCTGTCCTACCAGAGACAAAGGTTTAGCAACTCGATAGACATGTGCAGGAAGAAGACCCGATCGTGGGGGGTTCCCAAATGTTTGGAACTTTGGATGTTCGATAGAAAGTTAGAAACATGGCCATGGAAAAAGCATGACACAAACTCCCACAGTCGCATCCCATGGTGTGACGGAGAGGTTGTAGATAGTTTCCACAACGCCGCAACGCCTTTGTTTGTGTCGTCGGAGTTCATCAACCACTTAGTTTCTGCATGTTTCTACCCTGGTCGAAGGTTGTACTACAGCAGCACAAACAGAACGGTTGGCGAGTTCTCTGTTAAACTAGAGCACGCGCCAGTGCCGAAGGGTCCCTTTGGGTAGGTGCCTGGTCCCGAAATGCAGTGGAATATGCTGAGTTCGGACAATTCCAACATATGTACAAGTGACAAGGCTTTACCCACTATCATCCAACGATCTCGCTCGCACCTGCTCTTGAGTGTCATCAACCTTCTCAAGTTTTGGCAAGGCCCCTGACGGGCGACATCTTTGGAGTTTGGGTCGATAGATTGTCCGGAGCCTTATACGCAAGGTGATCAGTGAAAATGTGTCTTAAAAAATCGTGAGGGTTGCACCCCAAATGTTGTCTCACTCGACTCCAAGTCATTGACCATCCCTCCAGCCCAGAGATTGAGGCAATTCATGGCCGAACACAAGGCTTCCGGCATGCCACATAGGAAACGCCACTGCTGAACTTTGGACTTCAGAGCAACCGTAGTCTGTGCTGTGGTTCCAAGGCTTGATGGAAGGTTGATACATTGAAGTGCTAAACAATAGCCTATAGTTTTCAACAGAAAATATATAAATACCAACTGGCCACCTGTCACTGAACCGACTCACTGAGATCTACATGTTTGCCGCCCATTTTCTGGGATGCCACCAAGCTCAGCCCAAGTCTGGGTAACATTGACCAAAGTGCGGGGTACAACAAGAAGAGTAGAAAAATGAATGAACTAAATGCACACGGAGCCCCACTGATGCCCCTCGTTTCCCCCAATCTTGTACCAAAAAAATCCTCGGTCAATACCCAGACGCTCCATGTATGACATATTTGCCTACATTGACCCCTGAAACCACCCCAATGTATATAGGTATAATATGCCTGGACCATCCAAAGGGTGTCCAATGGAAGCCTATAGGTAGTGTGGGGTAGTCCATTGGACACCCCTTGCTGTGACTGTATCAAACGTATGAAATCGTCTTCGACCGGAGGTCCAAGCGGACGTCGTTCTTCGGTCGACATGTCGTCCGTATTGTCGTCCCGTCGTTACGGTCGGCACGGCGCCAAGCCGTCGCATGCTTCACGTCTCATAGTCCCACGAACCCTCTTGGACCCTCTTGGTTCGCGCCGAAGCAACTCGGACTTCGTATCGCGAACCCTTTGGATGTTCCAGTCGACGGAGACATGGAGACCAGGCTTTGTACCAACTGGACGGAATTCCATCGACCGTTGATGGCACTTCAGCCGACCAGACGCCAGGGCGGGCCCCCCCCACCCCACGCCACCAGGGGACGTTTCGGAGCGGAGAAGGTGTGTGAAACCACCGACACCACGAAAGGAACAGTGGCGAAGCTCCCGGACGACCTGCCAGAACCCACCTCTTCGTCTGATGGGCGAATGTCGGAGGGCTCGAACATCGGCAGCCCAGCCAGAGTGCTTCTTGGGTAGCTTGGGTTAGAGGGTTGTAGGTTCGGTGGCCAATCCATGTCTTCAGTAGGTAATGGTCCAGCCCAGCCCTCCCTTCTTCCGCGCCTTCGCCTTTCTCCAGCAAGGTCTGCAGAAGACGACTGGCCACCAGCGCATGCTTGGCACCTGGGTAGCTTGGGCGAGATTCAGACAGCTAGGGCGGGGAATCCCTCCGCCTTCAATCATGGCACCCTACCGGTCAAAGACCTTATTCTTCTGGTCCTGTTCAGTTGGCCAATACACTACCCAAGGAGCTCAAAGACTAGGAATGGAGTCTGGTGGACGGAAGCAACCGCTCTTTCTTTTCGTCCAGGCCGCGCAGGGAGAGGGCCGTCTCTTCCTTGCCCACCGGCACCAGCTCGGCACCCACCTCAGAGCAGCTCGGAGCAGCTCCAGGGCTCCGAAGGACTCAAACATCGACGAAGGACCGAGACGTTCAGGGAAACGGTGGCCATGGGGCAGGCCAATGCTCGTCCTTGAAGGAGAATTTGTTTGGAGATCATATGGAGAGATCTCAAAAGGTCGGACATCCAAAAAACTCCAAGGAACCACAGCGATCGAATTCGACGGGCAAACCGTATGGGCGGCAAACCGGTGTGTTTTCCAAGAACATTGGTTGGTCAATTGTCGATGTTGTTCCTCATGTTGTTCCTCCTAGCCCCCTACGTCCGCGTTTGAACATTTGAACGAGCCATCCCTACCTGTCCCTACCGACCACAAAATCAGTAGCAGTTATACTGTATCCTCGAAATACGTCATGCTTACGTGGATAGCACCGCCTATTTGGTCTGAAGAATGGTAATCCGAACCGGTCCGAACCCGATGCCATTCACATATTTCTGAGATGATCTTTGTTCAGGAACCATCCAAATCATTTGGATCCACGGATCCACGTGGGTCAACGGTCCTACCACAGCGGTCTCTGCCGAACCCACGTGTTCGCCCGTTTTCGGTCGGACGCCTCTTGGCCATCCTTTCGGCAAATCGCCACGCGACTGTCCTGCCGAAGCGAGGTTCGACGCATCGGTCGCAAGCCGAGAAACACCGTTTCGGATCCACAGAGCGTTTCGGCACATGTCTTCGGAAAATGCGATGTTTTTATGTGTTGTGTTTTTTTGCAGTTTCTGTTTGGTTCCAATTCCAAGCCTTTTGTTACTTCACGCCATCTTTATGCTGGCCTGTGGCCTGTGTCCTTCAAAGAAAGGGTGATCCATGCAGACCTCACTACCGACATTGGACCCATTTGGACCCGTGAAACTCGGATCCTTCTGGAACCAAATGGGTGCAAACTCCTGGGCCGAAGCGAAGCGAAGCGAAGCGAAGCGGCGTGCGGTGACCGGGAACCCGACAGCGACGCTGTCCGGCTGAGTCCGGCTGAGACAAGAGGCTCTAAGCGTGGGTGATTGCTTGATGTGTGACATATGTACCAGGACCATCGGGTTGTCAGGGAGACCAGCTGGAAATCTTGAAGTTGCGAAATTTGGTCAATGTCACTATTTGATCACCGTGATCACTGTCTGGAGGATGGTCTTGTCCCATGTCGACAAGTCATGTCATGATCCCTTCTACAGCGCTAGAGCCGTGAAACTGTGAAGCTATAAAGATTTATCAAGGGGAACATGGCCAAATCTGTCTTGATTTGTGTGCTTGCACATGTTTGACACACACCCATATGATCCCTACAACCTGGGCGTCTGTAGCATACCCAAGTCACGTCACCTTTGTTGACAGACTTGACTTCCAACCCGCGTACCAACCCATGGAACCTATCCCGAATAGTTTATCAGTCAGCCGCAAAGGTCCCTGGGCAGCATTGGACAGCCCAAAGAAATGACCAGTGGCGCTAGCAGCAGGAGAAACCACACGTCCAATCTTCAAGGAAGAAGTGACACGTGGCTATGGCCACCCCTATGGAGGGGGTGGACGTGGGGGGGGAGCAATTACATTTATTTTTGCCACGAAAGGACTTCGGACGGCTCTTTTTGGGTCCGAGCGAGCATCCACTTATGTTCACTGGAGCTGCGGCCAGCATTCGCTGGCTGCACAGCTTGAAACAGCTATTCTTGCTGGCAAGTTCTTGCCAGGTGGGTCCATGTGATTTTGAACCGCTGTTTGTTGGAGTGCCGAGGTCAGGACTTCTTGCTGGGAAGTGCCATCTCACAGCTGGAAAATTACAGGTGCATACAACTTGCTCAAACTTTCGGCATCCCTCGACAAGCCCATTGTATATCCAAGGATCCAAGCAACCTTGCCGCTGCATGCCGCTTCAGGGCTTTTCCCAATCGAAGACAGGAATTCTAAGGCTCTTTCTGAGAGCGGGAGACATTCAGCCAGACTGACATAGCTTTCTCCAAGAAATTCACAATCATTAAGGACCCCCCTGAAAAATGAAGTTTAATCTATATCAATCTAGACATATCTAGACCTGCAATACGTTGCCATGCAAGATCATGCCCTGTCTTCAGACCATTTCAGACCTCTGGCATTCTTTGGCTTCAGTTGCGGTGGTATTGAGGCCAGGGAGAACGAAAATCATGGCACAAGGTTCTGGGAAGAAACAAAATGAGGAGAACGAACTTGAACAGGAATGGGTCACCGCAGAGCTATATACACGACGCCATCGCCGCTGACTGGTTCGGGGAGTTCCTGAAAAACTGCCCGCAAGGTGGCGAGCTGGAGCGCATGAGCAGCGTTCAGCACCCCGACACGATGGAGAGTTTGCGTTGGGTCGGTCTCTGCGATCATCCGCGTTCCCGCAGCGGCTGTGGCTAAATTCAAAGGCGCCCGTTGTTCGTTAGCGATCAATGCAACGATGACGGGCGGGCTACTGCTACTGCTACTGCTACTGCTACTCCTACTACTACTACTACTCCTCCTCCTCCTCCTCCTCCTCCTACTACTACTACTTCCGGTGGGCACACAGCGGTAAGGGGGTTCCACAAATTTAGCAAGAACATGTTGCGCAGCAAGTTGAAAGCTACACTTTTGGGCCTCGTCGACGTTTTCCCATGACGGCATGGAATTGACAGCCGAGAGCAAGGTCAATTTGAGCCAAGACGAACTGGCATGACTAAGTATGGGACAAAAGGCGACAAAAGGAAAGCGACTGGGCCACAACCAAGGAATACTAGAAGTAGTGACGGAGCTAGTTTGACCAAGGAATACTAGAAGTACTAACGGGGCTAGTTTGGCGTTGGGCGCCACCTGCTAGTGCAATTGCTTACAGTATGCAAGCACCACAAAAGGAAAGAGACAGAACGGCAGGAACCCTAAATACCGTGGAAGGAACCCAAAATCACCTAGGGAACTCAAAAACCGATTGCGGGAACCCAAAATCACCAAGGGAACCCAAAATCCGATTGTGGGAACCCAAAAACTGATTCTGGGAAAAAAAGACGCTAGGGAAGGGAAAGTCGGAATCTGGGAACTGGAAACACCCAACCCGCCACCTCGCTCTGAGACCGCTGTAGCTTTCGCCTCAGGCCACCCAAAGTCCGCCCGTATCAAAGGCTTAAGCGCTTCAAAGAACCGGTATACGGTATGAGCATCGGAAAATCTTATTTAGTATTGATATTCTTTATCACCTGTTCTCAGGTTTTCCTAAAGGCGTGGTGCGTAACCATGAGTGGCACATAGGTCCAAGTGCGAAAGGAATTAGTAGAAGTATGAGACCCAAGGTCCAAGCTCCCTCTTGCTCCAAGGAGCTCCAAGCTCCTAGTCCTCCACCTCCACATGCGCGGTCTCGACCTCCAAGCCGCCAAGTCAAGTCGCTTCAGCGTGCTTCAGCCCTCTCCTCTCATTTCCTCTGCTCTCCTCTCCTCGCTCCTCTTTATCCTCACCAGGATTGCGACAACAATTCATGGCCAATTGCCCAGAACTTGAAACCATCAGTTCCATCTCAATGATCAACGTTTCAATGACCGTTGAGCTGCATCCTCATCCTCATCTGGGTTGCGAAATTGCAGCAATCATGGTTTGAAAGGGGGCCCATCCAGTCAGCCATCATCGTCGTCCTAGTAGTAGTAGTAGTAGTAGTAGTAGTAGTAGTAGCTCTCGTTGTTGTGGCAGTAAAATGCAATAAAAATGAAAAGGATGCTTTCCGGCTTCAGTTTCCCAACACAAAATTACAGGTACCAGTATCATCTAGTATATACCAGCAAATGCCAACAAGGCTGCTGTTCAAGTGGGGCACTGCTTATTTGGGCCACCAGAACTGAGGAATGGGGTAACGGTCGAGTACTGCTATAGGGGTACCAGTGAAGGCTGCTCAAGTTATGAAACATACTAACCACTGCCATCTTCCATGTTAGAGGGTCCCAGTTTTGGGTGGACCCCTTGTGGTCCTGCAGTCAATCCGTCGGCTTCAGAATGCGACGTCAAGCCGAAAACTACTGCTTACTTCTGGTAACTCTATCGGGCGCTGATATAGGGAAAGCCCTCAAGACTTGGCAATACAATACCTCACAATGCACGAACTCGGAATAGATGAGCAAAAGCCACCCCAAAAACTTGGGACTACATTCACAGGGATTTACAAGGCCGCGGCTGTCACACCTGTGCAAACGTCTCAGTCCCGGGCACAAAAAGGCGGCTGGCCACAATGAGGGTCAACGTGAGCACCGATGTGTGGCGGGCAGTCAATCCATCCAACTGCACAGGCACAGGACGATATCCAGCTCAAGAAGTTTGGACTCCAAGCCTTTGGTCAGCAATAAAAGGCTTATATTTCCGCTCCCAGATTGCTTGGACCGCTTAGGGCCACTGGCCCTAAGCCGTCCAACTTCTTCTCCAATCTCCTAACACTTTGAAGATGTCCCAATATGTCCCAATCTTGAGAACACACTTCCCAATCATGAGACAGCTCAAAATATAGTGTAGTGGACTGCTTAAGCAATCCAGGAGCGGAAACGCAAGCCTTTTATTGCTGACCAAAGGCTTGGACTGCTTAGGGCCACTGGCCCCAAGCGGTCCAAACTTCTTGAGCTGGATCAGAGTCAAGTTTCCTTCAACATCAGGCGGCAACTTGCTAACAAGTTCTGATGAAGTCTGATGACTGGGTCAGGCTGGGGTCTGGATCTGCCTTTGCCGGATGAGCTGAGCTGCCCACGTGGCAAAAGATTCGGCCTCCGCAGTGTAGCTGAGTCATGCTGAGTCCTGCTGCCTTGGGACCTGGGAAAAGAATCTGGGTGGACCATAAATGGGCTGCCTGAAAAACGGAATGGCAATAGAAGTCTTTTTCGTTGGTGGTGAAAGGATGCAAAAGGCTTGTGCTGTTAGGGGTGTTTACAGATGTTTAAAGATGTTTAAAGCATTTTTTGGGGCATCTTAGGGCCGCTGGCTCTAAATGACCAAAACTTCTTGAGTACTCTCAGTCTGGCAATTTGCTCGTAGATTCGGATAAATTCTCATAATTGGGTCAGGCTGGGATCCGGATCTGCTTTGAACCTTGATGCACCGGATGAGCTGAGCTGCACACATGGCAAAGGATTCCGCCAGTGTAGCTGAGTCCTGCTCACTTGGGACATGGGGAACGAATCTGGGTGGACTTCTTGTAAAAATATACTGGCTGCATAGAAAATGGCAATAGGAGTCTTGTATGGGTTGTGAAAGGCTTGTGCTGTTCAGGGTCTTAGGGCCGCTGGTTCTAGGATGTTCTAGGTGCCCCAAACTTCTTGAATACCTTCAGATACCTTCAGTTCGGTAGTTCGCTAAGTCTGATGACCAGCTCACTCTACACATCTCTACACATCCCTACACAATCTCTACTACATGGCTACTCAGGCCTATGGACCCAAAGTCCCCTATAGTCCCCGTCTGATTTCTTTTCCGCGATACATTCTACTATGCTCCATCGGCAGCAGGAGATCACAGGAGTTCCCGCCAGTGAGGCTTTGCCCTGGCCGCAGAAGACTGCCCGACAGCTGCGTGCTGAAGGTTGGCAGCTTTCCTGAGCAAGGGTTCCCAATATGACACCATATGAGGCCTAAACCAAACATTGGTATGGTGCATGAATCGGTGCAGTAAAGCGGTCCCAGCGTGCCACACCCCATTTGGCTGGACCCCCACACAAATCACACACAAATACATTTCCAAAAGTTGACCTAATGAGCCCTGAGCATGGGATTCCCTTAAAACTTAAAAGTCTTGCTTTTGGTCAATGTTGGGCGAGATGGCCAGCCAAGCCACAGACTGTCCCAGACAACCACCATAGCAGCAGCCAAGTCTGCCGTGAGCGGCCAGCTGATCTTGGTGATCAGTCCGGACTCCAAGACCTCCTTTGCCACGGTGCTGG